CATGAAACCAACCCTACTGCCCATCGAAAGTAGACTGGATAAAGAAAATGTGGTACATATACATGAGAGAATATTACACAGCCATAAAGAAGGACAAAATCATGGACTTCACAGCAAATAGATGGAGATGGAAACAATCATTCTTAGTGATCTATCACAGAAACAAAGAACAGAATACTACATGTTCTCACTCATAAGTGAGACCTGAATATTAATCACATTAGCACAAGGCAGGGATTGGAAGTCATGGGACATTGCAGCGGTGGGGGGAATGCAACACATAACAACACAAAGGGTACCTAGTCCTAAACTGGGGAAAGTGAGGGTCAGTTGGAGGCCCAAACTTCATCGGCACATACATTACTTATGTACCTAATCCTAACTTATACCCCACATCTTTATAATAAAATGAAGTAAATTTTTAAAAATACACAATTCAAAGATTTGGGGTTTTTTTGTTTGTTTTTGAGTCAGAGACTCTGTCACCCAGGAGTGCAGTTGCATGCTCATGACCACAGCCACCACGACCTGCTGGGCTCAAGCGATCCTTCTGCCTCAGAATTCCAAGTATCTGGGACTACAGGACCGTGTCATCATGGCTGGATTATTTTTTTATTTATTGAAGAGACGAGGTATGGCCAAGTTGCCATGGCTGGTCTCAAATCCCTGGGCTCAGGCAGTTTTCTCACCCTGGCCTCCCAAATTGCTGGGATTATAGGCGCAAACCACAGTGCCAGGCCAGATAGAGAATTTTAATATCCTCAAGAATACCTACAGTTTAAACACAGTTCTTTGCATAGACTAAATCCTTACCAATAGGCATAATGAGCTGAGTGTCCTTTGAGGGATGAAATAGGATTTACTAGTGTTCAAAGATTTAAACTCAGTGTATGAAGGTATTTTGTGATACCAGGATATGATTATATTTTTATATTTAAGGAGAGTCTGTCGTCTCATTATCACCAGAAAAAAACTTTATAAAAATGGCTGCCAATATCCATGAATTCTATCCAGGTCATCAAATGTTGGAAGTACATGAGTCAAGCTGACTACCACTATATTTTTTTGCTTACTTTAAAGCTGTGAAGAAATTCAGAGCCCTGCTGAGATATTCAACCCTGATTTATTGCCTTTGAATGCTTGGAAAGTTTTTCTTTCCTGCGGGGATCACCCAAACATGGTCATCCTTACACCACAGCTCTATTCAAATTTTGGCTCCTCTTTCTAACATTGTTCATCAGTCAATTCTGCTGGTCTACACCAATTCCAGATCTACAGCCAATGCTTATATTTTTACTTTTATGTTATTTGTACAGATGATAGTTTCATTATGTTGCCCAGGCTAGTCTCAAACTCCTATCCTCGAGCAATCCTTTCTCTTGCGCGTCCCAAAGTGCTAGGATTACAGACATGAGGCACAGTGCCCACCTTATCTTGACTTTTCTGCATTGTTATAATTTAAGATATTTAATTACCACAAAATTAGTTTAGAAGTATCCATAGAGGAGAAGCATATTGGGAGGGAAATACCTTTAAGGTTCTTTGTGGATTTATGGACTAAAGCTACCCAAACTTCTTCAGATATTTTTGCTGTTTCCTAGGGTAAGTTTAAATTATACACATTTTAAAGCTTCCTTAGTCAACTTTAATTAATATAAATAATACTCAGTACCAATGAGATATTGAATCTAAAAAGATAAAAGTATACACATATTTTTATAATAATTTTTCAAGTGTGTGGAAAGATGGAAATATATAGCCAGAAATATAAAATTTCTTTTAATTTAGTAAGCCCACATTTCAAATTATATCCCAAGGAAATATTCCTTTCACTTAATATTCCAAAGAGTAATCTGTTCAAAGTGATTAAGGCTGTGTTACTCATAATAGTAAAAGAATTAGAAACCGGGCACAGTGGCTCAAGCCTGTAATCCCAGCACTTTGGGAGGCTAAGGTGTGAGGATTACCTGAGCCCAGGAGTTCAAGAGCAGCCTGGGTAACTTGGCAAGACCGCGTCTCTACAATAAATTAAAAAATTAGCTGGGCATAGTAGCACATGCCTGTAGTTCCAACAACTTGGACGACTGAGGCAGAAGGATCGCCTGAGCCCAGTAGGTCGAGGCTGCAGTGGCTGTGAGGGTGCTACTGCACTCCAGCCTGGTTGACAGAGTGAGACTTCAACTCAAAAAAAAAAAAAAAAGAATTAGAAAATAGATTTTCCTGAAGCTCAAGGTTAAGAAAAATATTCTATGCCAATATTAGGAACTATATAGCCATTAAGAATTATAAGAATTTAGCAGAGCACAGTGGTTCAGGCCTGTAATCCCAGCACTTTGGGAGGCAGAAGTGAGAGAGTTGTCTGAGCTCAGGGGTTCAAAACGAGCCTGGGCAACTTGGTGAGACCTCATCTCCACAGAAATAAAAAAAAATTTAACTGGGCATGGTAGCGCACATCTGTAGTTCCAGCTACTTGGAAGGCTGAGGCAGAAGGATCGCCTAAGCCCAGCAGGTCAAGGCTGCAGTGGTCATGAATGTGCCACTGCACTCCAGCCTGGGTGACAGACTGAAATTATGACTTTAAAGAAAAAAAGGTATTATAAAAATTTGAACCATGTTGATAAATGGAAATATGCTTATGAAACAATGCTAATTATAAAATATATGCTTTTTTCAGATGTACCTTCATGTCTTTTAATAGATTTATAAATGTTCCTATGTCATTTCAAACAGATTATTTGTACATGTATAAATCTATTGAAGTATATATATGTACATTGACAAATAAATGTAAGGTAATGTTAACAGGATTTTATGTTTATTGAATCTTTGGTTTCAAAAAATAGCATTTCACAAAATCATTCTATTTTATTATAAGCACTGATCACAAACAGATGTGTTCAAAACAAATTTGGGGTTTTGGGAAATGGATTAAGTAAATGTCTTTACAGTAGAAATTCTCAGATCCTTTCATTCATTAATATTCATGTGGATCTCTAAAATGAAGAGATTCCTCTTATTATTTATCTCAAAGTCTATTGTTTTCATCATGATTTACACTTATTTTATTTGTGTAAGTAAATCTGTATAAATCTTATTTGTACTTGCTTACAGTTTGTCTTCCTCACCAAACTATAAATTCAGGTAACTAGATCTGAATTCCACCATTATTCCTAGAGCTCTAGCCAGGGCATTTAGAAGGCACTCAGTAGATGTTGTTGTAGTGAATGAACTACCAGCAGAGCATTGGGCAAACTACTGCTTAATGCTATTTTGGAAACTACCTATTGCTAAAGATTCAATTGTATAATAACTTCAAAGAAAAAAATTGTGTTAATACCTCTAGGCCACTAGAGATTCATTTAATAAATTATTGCTGCACTTTAGTTGAATCAATTACTATTTCAGGGAACTGAAGAGGTTTCTCAGGGAGCACCTCATGACCTGGAAAAGTCTTGCAAAATCATTTTTACACTCTGGAACACTAACTGAAAAATAATGGTAAAAATTACAGTTAACATGGAATGAACTGCATATGTTTTATACAATAATTTATTGCTTTAGAAGTTAGAAAATGCTGTATCTTTTAATAACTTTTGTGGAAGTTACATAATACCATTGTCTAAAAAAATAGGGAAAAGTTAGATACTTTTTATTAACGACTAAGATTCATGCATTTCCTCCACAAGTTCTTCAGAAGTGCTAGAAAAAAAATAGGTTAATTTCATTATTTGACAGTTGTGTTGAAAAGAAATAATAAAACTTGCTATAAAATATGATTTTTTTCCAGTTTCCAAAATGGAAAGTATTTTATTAGCTGTCAATGCCCTTACACTCTAACACATCACTAAAACCTTAGCTTATGCTTAAACTTTAACCCTTAACAAATTTGGCGGTAGGGGAGAGGTTACTTTTCAAGACAAACAAAGGATGTATTTCCAAAGCAGCATTTGCAAAGGTTAATCTGTGTATGGACTACAAAGGGGAAAGTGCAGTGCCCCAATGATCGAACCAAGACCCCCTCTCGTTTTTGTTTTTTGTTTTTTTCCCCTGGTTAATATACCACTGGAAGGGATAATTTTTAAACTTAATTTGTTGAAATAGGACTCTACTAATGTATGAAAACAATTTCCCCAAATCTGAGAATTTGTGGTAAATTGACTCTATGTTCTAGAATTAGGATCTCTTGCTTCTACTGACACCTTCTGCACAAAAGAAAAAGGGTAACTTACTAGGAAATCTGCATGGAGAAATTTTACAGAATCCCAGAGCCGAAGGTGCCCTTACAGCTCAGAGATTCCCAGAAACATTCAAAGCCACCGCAGCCCCAGAAGGTAAGTGGCTTTCCCAGAAAGTCTCCTGACTCCCGGCCTAACCTTCCTTTCCCCTAGACCAAAGCTCACACGGCATCGGGCTAGCATGAAGGTCAAAGTCGACAGACGAATCCCAGCAATCCACTCTCTGTGAGGGTCTCCCTATCCGAGTTTTAAAATGTGGTTCGTGAAAGGGCAGTTCCTAACATTTTATTCCTAGGACACAGTCCAGTCAAAAGACAGTTAGGGCGGGTAAAAATGTGGTAAAGAACATGCACAGAAGAGAAAGCGCAGTTTCTAGGAGGCTTCTGAGAAAGTAAGACAAGGGAGATGGGAACCCGGGCGCGTGGTGGGGGAGGGAGCGTAATAAAAGCAGTGTCTGGCGCGGAGGGCGACCACACAGAACAAAAGAAATGGAGTAGAAAAGTGGGCTTGACTGTCTCGCGCTGCTTCAAAAGGCATCATCGGAGACCACCGGGAGGGAGCCCCCGGGTGGGCCCAGGCCGAGGGCGGATACATACTCAGCCGCCCGCAGCGCAGAAGCGCGCGCAACTGCGGACCGCGCGGCCGGGGCTCCCCGGGCACCCACTGCTCGCGCCCATAGGTGCTCTTGGTCCTCCCCAGCTCCCCCCACCCCGCGGAGCTCCCCCACTCGCTGCGCCCCACGACTCTTCCCCACTCCGGCAGGCGTCCCCGGCCCTCTCCGCGGTCCTCGTCCTCGGGCGCGCAGCCCCTAGCGGCGCGTCACTGCGAGGCCGGCCTGCGCGCCTCCCTCTCCCCTCCTCCCGCTCGACGCGATCCGCTCGGGGAGGCGGGGAAGCAGCCGGAGCGCGACCGCCGCGGAGCCACCCTGCAGCCGCCAGTCGGAGGTGCAGTCCGCAGGCCCTGGAGCTCGGGCGGGCCCTCGGGGAGTCGGCGCCGCTCCCGGGGAGCTGCGAGGCTCGCCTCTGTCCGGCGCGGGGGGGCGCGGAGGTGAGCGGGTCGGGGAACACCGCCGGAGGAGCTGGCGGCGGGGGAGTTGAGGGTCGGGATGCAGTCGGCGCCACGCGCTGCTTCCATCCTCCCCGGATTCCGCGCCCTCTGCGGGCGTCTGCCCTGAGCCGGGGTCCCTGATCCCCGGGCACCTTGAGGTGGGGAGTGAGAAGGGTGGAAAAGGGTATGGGTTCCGCTGAGTTCGACCCCTACTCCTTGGTCTTCCGCGAGCTCTAGGGAAGTCCTGAGGTCGGGCCCGGGAGAATGAAGGCCAGGAGAGACATCGTCCCAGGTAGGATGTGTCCCAAAAGGAAAAAAAAAAAAAAGATTACTTTCGCCTCCCTGAGTCTACCTGCCACTCTGGGTTGATGCAGGACGTCTCGTTGAGATCATGCAGTGCTGCTTTGCGGACAGGCAGGTATTTCTAGTAGTCATTTTGTTTACTACCCAGTAATGTAATCGTAGCGTGTTTAGGCCATTTTGTGTTGGGAAGTAGTTGGCCTCTACTTTGCGTGTCCTAAATTATCTTTGAGCCCTGTGTTCAGCCTCAGCCAAAACTTGTTGAAAATTATGCCCTAAAAATCTTGCTCTTAAAATAGAGCAGAGACATATAGAGAATTTTTGTCAGGAGATTTCCATTTGTTATACCCCCACCCTGTGGAGAAGGATTGGTGTCCTCGGGCAGTTAGTTTCATAGATGGAAAAACTTATTCCATGGTTAATTATCGCACATCACCATGGGAGAAATAGAATTCAGACTCCTGCCGACCCCTACCCCCCAACCTCATGACTTTAGATTAGATTCCAGTCTTGTTAGCGGCCCCAATGCTTGGAACATTTTTAGTTCTCCAAACCACAACCTCATCCTTTCTCTCCCACCTTTAGTATTTCTTCATTTTGTTGGTCTCTGTTTATTTTTTATTTTCCCTAACACTACTTTTTTTACTCTGCATCTTGCTGTTGGTTTAAAGCTTAGAGGTTATTTAATGAAAAAAAATACTCATCTAGATATTTTGCAGTATGTTTAGAAACATGAGAGGAATTATATATGCTGCCATTGGGATAGCTGTGCTTTCTGCCTCTTAGCTAGTCAAGTTTGTCAGGGTATAGGGAAATGAGACTTTTTTTTTTTTTTTGAGTTGAAGTCTCACTCTGTCGCCCACACTGGAGTGCAGTGGCCGCTCCCGGCCCGCAGCCTCGACCTGCTGGGCTCCGGTGATCCTTCCGCCTCAGCCTTCCGAGTATCCGGAATTACAGGTGCGCGCTACCACGCCCGGCTGATTTTTTGATTTATTGTAAAGATGAGTCTCGCCTTCCCAGGCAGGTCTCGAACCCGCGGGCTCAGGCAATCCACTCACCTCAGCCTCCCAAAGGCACGGGATTACAGGCTGAGCCACCGAGCCCGGCAACAATATTAATAATACATTGAGCTAACTGTGCAGGAAGGAAATGAAAACTTTATCCAAGTCACTTTTTATTGTATAGGTGCAATGGAAAATGCACTTGTAGTGAATGAACAAAATTGTATTTTTTTTGTAATCGGGGTCTCAGGATGTCTCCTAGGCACGATCATGGCTCACCACAACCTCAACCTCCTGGGCTCAGACAATACTCCTGCCTCCGCCTCCCAAGTTGCTGGGACAACAGGCATGCACCACCTTGCCCAGCACATTTGTTGATTTTTCTTTTTTTGTAGAGACGGGGTCTCACTTTGTTGCCCAGACTGATCTCGAACTTCCAGGCTCAAGCAGTCCTTCCACTTGGGGCTCCCACAGTGCTGGGATTACAGGTGTGAGCCATTGTGCCCAGCCCCATAATTGAATTTTAATACTAAAGAGATTGCACAGATGAAGACAATTTTTTAAAGAAAAGATTATACATGAATTAGAAAAGTGAGAAAGAAACACCAAAAGCTTGAAGGATGAGGATGGCAGCGGTGATAAAGGACACAGTCAGTACACCAGGAGATGTATTTATCCCTGCTGGACCAGTAACCATGACATTGAGGTAATCAAGACATTGACATAACCATGACATTGACAAATCACCTACCTCTTTGGAGCCCACATGTCTTAATCAGCAAAAGAGAAGTCTAACCTACAGAACGATTACATCTTTTTTAGTCCTAACATTTTTGATGCATTTAATAACAAAGAGTATTGCATCCTTAGTTACACTGCCAACAGTGTGGAGGTAATAATGGACAAGACAAACATGGACTGCCCTCATGGAGCTTATTGTTTGGTAGGGAAGATAGTAAACAGAAAAGAAACAATTATATAAAATAATTACAAAGGAAATTAACAAGGGCTGAGCAAATCATTCTACTAAAGAGACAGAACAGCATATGCACAACTCCCAAGGTGCAAAAAGTGGCCCTTTCTCCATCTAGAAAAGGGTGCTGTGGCTGGACAATGGGAAATAAGAGTCATTCAGGATGAGACTAGAGAGGTGAGCAGAAGCTACCTCATTCAGGTGACTCTAGTTCTAAGTATAACCAGAAGCCACCAATTTTTTTTTTGAACTGGAGTCTTGTACCGTTACCTAGGCTGGAGTGCAGTGGCACACTCACAGCCACCCCAGCGTCGACCTGCCCTGCTGGGTTCCAGGGATCCTTCCGCCTCAGCCTTCCAAGTAGCCGGAACTACAGGTGCACGCTACCACGCCTGGCTAATTTTAAAAATTATTATTGTTGTAGAGATGAGGTCTCACCAAGTTGCCTGGGCTGGTCTCGAACCCCCAGGCCCAGGTAATCCACTCACCTCAGCCTCCCAAAGTGCTGGAATTACAAACTGAGCCACCAAGCCTGGCCGAAGCCACTGACTTTAAAGAGGGAAGAGACATTTTATGACAATAGCTGTCTTTAAACCATTTTAGGTGCTATGTGGAGAATGGTTTGGAAAGGAGCAAAGGAGAAAGTAGGCTGGTCCATTAGGAAATGTTTACAAAGTTTGGTGAGAAACGATAGATGCTTGGACTAGGCTGGTGTCAGTGGAGAGGGATTTAAGAAATATTTTGTAGGAGTTAGTGTAGGATTTTATGTCAAGGGTGAGGGAAAGCAAGGACTCAAGAATAATTCCCAGATTTCTGACTTGAGCAACTGGTGGGTAATAGTGCCATTTACTGAGATAAAGAGATTTTGAGGTGAATTGGAACAGGTCTGGGTGGAGAATGTTCAGTTATGAACCTGTTAAGTTTGAGATGTCACTGAGGTCATAACCATAACCTCTTGGAAGGGAAAAGGGGTGGTTTCCAGGACAGAAGTAGATGAACGGCCTTTTGATAGGTGAAGTTGCTGATCATGAATCTAAGGTGAAACTAATAAACTCAGTTGTCTGATTTTTCTTCAGCAACCATCACCAACTTGGATACAAATACAGAGAGAATAGATAGCCAGGTTCTTCCAGACTAGAGTTTTGCCAAGTGAACATGATGGAGAGTAGGAGAGGCGAGTATCTTTTCAAGGGAGTGACTATAAATATATATTATGAAGTCCACACTGGGCTTAAAAAGAAATCAGAGTAGGTTGATGGAGAATGGAGGACGTTAAACAGTTAGAAAGGTAGAGGTCAATGGATCAGATTTATTTTGCTGTCTAGATATATCAGTGTGATTATTTAAACTAAGATGATGGAAGTCTAGGAGATAGTGCTTGGAGATTCCCAGAAGTGAGTGACTGAGGTAAAGTAGGGGCAAAGATCCATTGCCTTCGATGAATATGTGAAGGAAATAAAGCTGAAGTTGAATGGTTTATCCACTAGAATGATGAAGTTCTGAAGAAAGATGACCACTGCGTAGGTACTGGGGGCCAAAGTGTAGTCATACGGGATAAGTTAGAAGTCAGTGGATGACAGCAGTGAGGATAGGTAGAGGATATGATAGGTGCCATGAGTCTCAAAGGATCTGGGTGTTTGCAGGAGAGATAAAGAAGAAGAGATGGTCAGATGTGGGCTTAGAAAGTCAAGAATACACCTACCCCACTTCATGGCCCTGGAGGATTACATTTTCTTTGTAACCTATCCAACTCAGCAGATTGTGAATGCCATCAAAACCTCTGGGGGCAGCCCTTTAAGAGTTACTGTCACCCAGTAATTAATGCCCTAGATGTTTATGTGAGAAACAAATTAGATTGTTTTTCAAAATGAACGTAGCACAATAGCTACCATTCAGCTACAGGAATGTCCAAGAAATTCTTCTAAACTGAAAACCTTAGAAGGCCATATAGCTGAGTATAATTGAATTTCTAACCATGAGAATATTTAAATGCATACAAGTCAAATACCCATTCAAGAAAACTGTGACCCTGAAATTTCAAGGAGCCCTTGGGTTACTTGAATCACACATTAGGTTGAGCTCCCAAAGTTAAATTGTTAAATATAAGGTGTTTATATTACCATTACTACATAACTTCAAGACTTAGAGACACAAGAATTTTAGTGTTGGGAAGGACCACCGCAGTCAAGTACCCCTTTGTTTTCCATTTAACAAAGGAAAGTGAGACAGAGAATCAGGATGATTTCAGGAGCTTAGGTTGCTCTTTTGCCTTGACACCACAAAAACAAAACTTTCTATAAATGACATAGTTTTATCAATTATTTAACTTGAACCTGTGAATAACATAAGGTGAAAAGGCAGACAGATTCTAGGATTTTTTTTTAATCAAAAGTGAGGCCCAGCTCTGTGGGTATCACCTGGGAGCTTGTGAAAACTACAGAATATCTAACCTCACCCCAGACCTAAAAATCTAAATGTGGGTGAGGTGTGGTGGCTCACGCCTGTAATCCCAGCACTTTGGGAGGCTGAGGTGGGAGGATTGCTTGAGCCCAGAAGTTTGAGATCAGCCTAGGAAACAGCGAGATCCTCTCTCTACAAAAAATTAACAAATTAGCTGGGCATGGTGGGGCGCCTATCGTCCCAACTGCTCAAGAGGCTGAGGTGGGAGGAGGATTGCTTGAGCCCAAGAGTTCCAGGTTGTGGTGAACAGTGATCAAAAAAAAAAA